AAATTCCTGTTTAAATGGACCAGATATATCCTAGAATTGGCCCACTGCTTTGCTACAGGATTTAACAAAATTTTATTATAGTATTACCAGGAATGTAATCAATTTACTGATTGTAGAGCATGCCATTCATGGTTTTCTTAAGCAGGGGCTGGCCAAAACTGGGGCCCACAGGCCAAATACTGCCCACTCCCTGTTTGTGTAAGTGAAGTTTTACTGGAACACAACCACACTCATGTGTGTCCATATTATCTGTGGCTGCTTTCATGCTACAATAGCAGAGTATAATAGTTGTAACAGAGACTGTATGCCTACGAACCCTAAAAGAGTTACTATCTGGCTTTTCTACAGAAAAAGTTTGCTAACCCTCATTCTGAACAATTTTCAGTTAATCATACTTGATCAAATTATACCTCATAAACGTCCTTAACACATGATTAAGTGACCACAAGAATGTGGCTTCTCCTGAATGGCCTTTCTTCTCAATCTGCAAGAGAAGAAATTTGTCTAGGTGGTTTCCAACATAAGCATCAGTCAATACTCTGACTCTCAGCCAATGAGTAATTTCCTTCATGAGGTTTTTGGAGAGGCTTTTTTTTTGAGTTTTTATGATTTTGTTTTATATTTAAAGACACATTTCTCTTTTTTTAACTGAAGTATAGTGGACACACAATGTTACCTTAGTTTCAGGTGTACAACATAGTGCTTTCACAAGTTTATATATTATGCTATGTTCACCACAAGTGTAGCTCCCATCTGTCACCATACAACGCTATTACAATACCATCGACTATATTTCCTGTGCTGTACCTTTCAGCCCAGCGACTTATTCAGTCCATTACTGAAAGCCTGTATTTCCCATTCCCCTCATCACTCATTTTGCCCATTCTCTACCGCCCCCTCCTGGGGCAACCATCAGTTTGTTTCCATCATGAGATTTGATTACTTCTGAATAGTTCAGACATCGGCATCTCTTAAGAGATTGGAGAAGCATTGGCAAGGCCCATCAGGGGACTCAAATTCCAGCCTCCTCTTTGCCCCTAATTGGCTAAACCTCTCGTTGCTTTACTTCTGTAAAATGAGGAAGCTGGACAGATGAGGATGGAGTTTCCTTAAAGCAGATAATTATAGTCCAGAGTGTGAAGTGCATCCTAGAACGCCACACTGGCTGCTATGAAAGCCCAAGGAATGGTATCACACCGGGATTCACAGAGAAGGGACTCAGAGAAGGCTTCTTGGAGGAAGTGATTCTGATCTGAGTTTTGAAGAATAGGGAAGAATTCATGCTGCTGGAGAATGAACTGACCAATAAAGCAAAAATGCATCTTATGGAAGCCATCATGTTATTTGGCTAATTAGGAAATGTCATCTGTTTAAACATCTAAACCCCAGGAAAGATCTAAATTCAAACCGACCCTCATGTGTGCATTACACTGTGCTTCTGGATACACATCATGAAAAAGTCACTCTGCAAGCAACTTTTCACAATATAATCCTCCTTTTCTGTGAAAAGAGGTTTCTTTTCCTTCTTCAGCTTAATACCAAGGTCACATCCAAGTCTTGAAAAAGACATCAACTGCCACAGGCTTGGGTGGTGTGATGATCATTGCATAGGACACAAAGCCTTCTTGGGAAAATGAGGATCAATCAGAGAGTGTGAGCAAAGGATCATTCCAGGGCTGTAGGCAAGGTCAACAAGAGATAACTCTGACTTCAAACAACTTTGGCAATGTGGTTAGACAACGTGCTTACACAGCAATCATTCCCATTTGGCTAGACCATCCAAACATTCACAACAATAGATTCTGAAGGGAGGAGAATTATCTCAGTTGACCTAGCCATGCAATCTCAGCAGTGATTTCTAAGTAATCACTGGCTCTCCCACAATCCAACCGTTTGTACCAATGTCAGAGGCAGAATTCATTCATGCATTCAACAAATTCAGTGAGTTACCAACTATGTACCAGCACTTTTCTATACACTATGGACACAGCCATGAAGAGAGGAGACAAAAATCCTTGCCCTTGTGGAACTTAAATTCTTTGTACAGAGAAAAGCACAGAGTTTTAACTACTATCCAATAGGACATATTGCTGTTCTGAACAGTCCTGAAGGGACATTTTCCAAGAGTCTAAGCCACACCTGAGCCAGCCTTCCTCCTGATCCCTTGTCCCTTCATCTTAGTCTCTGTGTCACAAGCAATTTACTGTGGAAGGTGAGGTCAAGGCAGCCTGATGCTTTTTTCTTAATGTACCCTCATTATCAAGCCACATGACTCCTAAAGCCTCGAAACAAAAATGTTCACAGGCTTTGAACCACTTCTGGGAATCTTGACTGAGAAAACACACCTAACTTCTGAAGAGATTTTAGGTTGCAAAAATGTGCATCACCACTTTAACCTAGCTTCCCCCCCGCCTGCAAAATAAGGGGGTAAATTAAATGTCCAACTCTAAATTAATGGATAGATAAATTATTGTTTTTACATGAGATGAAATCCCATGCAGCCATTAAGATTATATTCACAAAGACTCCATGATAATGTAGGAAAACACTTATTATAAAATGTTAGGTAATCAAGCAGAACAAAGCTATATATATTCAATATAACAAGCCTGTGTAAAAAACTACTAAGAAAAATAAAAGCCTTGCTGGAAATGCTCCAAAACATTAACCACTGATATACTTAGGTGTTAAAATTATGGGTGTTTTTCTACTTTTGTATTTTCCTTTTTTTCTTTAGTCAACATTTATTATTTTCAGAATTAAAAAATAATAATTTTAAGCCTAAATATAGTTTTTAAAAGGCAAGGACAAGGTGGCAAGAACAAGTATAAAACAGTTTATCATGGTAGCTAAGAGCCTGAGATCTGAATTCAGAACCCTGGGTCAGAACCACGGCTCCCCAAGTTACTCTGTGACCTTGGGCAGATTATTTAACATTTCTTCCCCCTAGTTTCTCACCTGCGAAATGGGGGTAAAAATAGTGCCTATGAGAATTAGTAGATAATTCATGAAGAGTGTTGAGCACCTCATAAGCCCTCAAAATAACAGACCCAATACTCCAGTGGCCTCAAAAAAAGAGTTCACACAAGAGGGGAGGGTGGGATATCTTCACATCTCAGGAACAGCTAACTCAGAACTGTGTTTTCAGTGGGCAATTTTCCCTCACTCAGCATCAATCCCCAAATCCTTGACTTTTAAATTTTCCCCTGAAGATGGACAGTATGTTGATACTCATTTTATGGGTAATTATTTCCTTGGGTGTCTTGTTGTTGTTGTTTTTTTTTTTAATGTACTGGTCATCATTTACTGTGCACAGTGACTTTAATTTCAAAAACAAGTCTGAAAATTATGTTAATAGGACCATCGGAAAATACTACACGTTACTTTAAGATGAAATGACCTCATAAAAATACTGTTTATGGTCTGACAGTTGTTAATTTGAAGATAAAAGTAACTGTCTGATAGAATCATATTTTTTGTCAAATGTTGGTTCCAAAAACAGTGCAATGAAAAGCTAGCCTCTTAACTCCTGCACCCAACATTTTTTTTCTGTACAAATTAAACCACTTAAATCTGGGTAAGATCATGTGGTCGTTAATTAAGCCTGCACCTTGTCCACAACAGACTTTTAGTAAATATTTGCAGAAAGGACACCCATTTCTGAAATTTTAGTTTTTATTGCTGGCCAGTACTCATCTTTTTAAAAGAATGAGAATTCAGTTCAGATTGCATAAATATGAAATCTTAACCAATAAAGAAGATCCAGAGGATTAGACAGATTAAAATTTGTTTCTCTACAAATGAAATGAGGCATCCTTATGAAAAAGAATTGTGCCTTTCAGCTTCCAGCATTCTTTTCCCTAATTTCCAATCTAGATTTCCTTGATCTTTTGGCCCTAGGAATTCTCTACTCAAAATAAGGCTGCGCTTCTGTCCGTTCTTGACTTGGTTTGGCAACTTTCCTCTGTCACAGACTCTCCTTGCATGGGGTTTCTGCCCGCTGAACGCGGTGAAAACGCCCTGAACCGTGGTGTTCCACGGGCTTAGATTTGAATCTGGCTGGGCACTAGCTGCATCACCTCCCGTTAGTCACTGACCCTCGCTCAGCCTCGGTTTCTTTGTCTATAAAGCGGGCATCATAAACACAGATCTCACAAGGTTACAGTGGGGCTCCTAGAGACAACTGACTGGGCACGACTAGCAACTCACTCAGGCGCTCTTCCCCTCCCCTGGGAGTCTTTTTGAGGGTCTGCAGTCATTGTCCGAAAGCCTTTGATTTCTTTTCAGGCTGTCCTTAGACCAGAAGGCAAAGCTGTCCTGAACTTGGGACTTCATTTAGAAGAGCATTTGAGCTCTACATTAACTTCGACCCCGTCACGCTTCCGTCCCCGGGAACGGGACAGGTAGAGGAGCGGTGGCGAGCGCCGCCCCCTTTGCGGGGAAGGGTGCTGAGAAGTGGGGTTCTCGCTCAGGCCAGTGGGTCCCCATCCCGTTGCCTCTCCCACGGGGAAGTCCGGCTCCGGCTCTGCCCACCTCCCTCCGACCCGCAAAGATTAAGTTATGGGCCCCTCTGAGCCGGGGGTCCTTCGGGACATGCCCACACGTAGACTCTCTGCGGATCCCAGAACCAGCGTGCCCCCGCCCTGCAAGGGAAAGGAGAAGGGAGGTGGAACGGGAGAGGGGGGCGAGCGCCACAGGTGAGGCGGCCGGCGTGCAGCTGCGGAGGGAACCTTGCCGGCTCGCCTCCCTCCCGCTCGCCTCCTTCCCCGCAGCAGCCAGAGGATTTGGAGCCGGCCGGAGAGGCGCGCGGGGCAGGCAAGGTGCCGGGGCGTCTGCCCCGCGACGGCTTCTCGCCTTGGCCGGCGTGCGGCCCGAAGCCCGGCCCCGCCGGGGCTCCCCTCGAGCACTGCTCCGCGCTCCGCTCGGCGTTCCCAAGTGCGCCGCGCTCCTGGACGCCGGGAGCCTGGCGGGGCGCCGCGCCCGCAGCGGGCAAACGCTACCTGTGGAAGTAATGTGCGCAGAAGAGGCCCAGGAGCACCGTCGCGGGCTGGCCGAAGAGCGAGCGCGGCTGCCGGGCGAGGATCCCCGCGGGCACCGCGAAGGAGGGCAGCTCCTGCAGGAACCAGGCGGCGCGCGCGGGCAGGCGGGTGGCGGCGGGCATCAGGCTCTCCGAGTACTTCCCGTAGCCGGAGGGCTTCGCGAGGTACAGGACCAGTGCCCCCAGAGCGGCCAAAGTGGCGCTGCCTGCCAGCACCGGGCTCTGCTGGCAGTGAACGGACATCGCGCCGTGTTCCCCGCCGGTGGCCGCCGCTCGCGCAGAAGAGAGCGCGGTCTCCACGGCCCCTTTATGGGGCGCGAGACGCCACCCTGCGTCCGCCCCTTCGGCCTTGGCTCCCGCCCTTCCGTCCTGCTTTCGGCTCGGCGTGGCCAGCCCTGGCTTGGCTCAGCATCAATGCCCCTTTCGCCCGGCTGGCGCTTGGGGTGGCAGCCGGGGCGGAGGGGAGGACCCAGGGGCCAAAAACGTGTCCTGCCCGCCCCCCTTCCCCGCCCCGCCTGGGGCTAGGCCACATCTGCGCCTCCACCCGCGCGCCCACCCTCTCCACCGCCTGCCACTGGTCTTCCCTTTGCCCTTCGAAGACCTGTTCCTCACCGTACATCGCCCTCTGATGCTGCAGCTTCTAGGACTAGGAAATCGGAAGAGAAAAACCACAGGGACGATTTAGCCGGGGTAGTTGTCTCGCCCCCAACGCACCCCTGGGCCGCCGCCACGCAGCCTCCACCCTCAGACCACCCCAAGCCTGGATCTCCCCAGTCCCTCCGCTTCCCTACGCTCCTTCACTCCGCGTCCGCTCCCACCCTGTCATGCATCCTTCTTGCGACCTTGGGCCGGCCATCCAAGGCACTTCCCGCGCCCTCCAGCCCTTCTGCTTGGGGGCTCGGTGCGCCTTCTCCCTCTCAGCCAGTGCCCCCTCTACCCCACCACGTCCCCAGGGCCCTCATTCCTCCGCCGTTTCTCTCTGCTTTGCTGGCTGCGCCCCTGGGTCTCCGGCCTCTGTCAAAGAGGCGCATCCCCAACGCACGGACGCACCAGCAAGGGTGGCGGCCGGGAGCGGTGATCCCGTCCGAGGCCTTGCCTCTCCTCCACCACCGGCCCCCTGGAGCCGGCCTGGACTCCGGCTAAAGTCTACGGATTCTGCCGCGGGACCCCTCTCCCTACTCTTTGAGCGGATGAGTCGGGTTCCACGTGGTGGTGGTACTGGAGATGCTACCGTGCTCTGAACAGCCAGACGTGGTTCTTCCTTCTATTTTCCACCCTCCTCTCATCCTTCACCCGCTCGTTCATTACCTATTTCTTCTTGCCTTCTCTGACTGAGTGTCCAGACCTCCTTAGCTGCCCTCCTCCGAAGTTGTGTGCCCCTTTTAATCTCTTCGTCTTTCTTTGACCTCGCTTCCTCCTCCAGGTTGACCTTCTCTACCCTAGTGCTGCCTACATCAGTCTTCCATCTTCATGTCCCACCTCGAATAGGGATTACTTTATCCCTATTAATTTTCTTCTCTGGTCCCTACTTCAGGCTCCACCCCAGCCTTCCCCCGCACCTTTCCTTGGCTCTTTCTTCCTCCTCTCTCTTAGTGCCAACTCACTGCCTCAGGAGCCCCTCTCAGTTTCCCCCCATCCACTCATGCTCTGTCCTACGGGCTGTTCCAATGAAAGACACATTGTCCCATCTGCCCAGTTTGAGGCTGTTTCTTTATACCTGGGACGCTTTCCAAATTTGATGAGAACCCCATCTTATAGATCTAAGAACCTTGGTAAACCCTAAGCAAGATGAACACACACCCCCAGCACACTCAGCAATCGACTTGCTGAGAACCAGTGATAAGGAGGAAAATCTTTAAAGCAGCCAGAAAAAAGAAAGAAGGAAAAAAAAAAAGACCTAGGTAATAGGGACAAAGGTAATAAGTACAACAGATTTCTCAGACGCTATGCAAGCCAGAAGAAAATGGGATGGTACATGTGAAGTGCTGAAAGAAAAAAATTTTCAACCAAGAATTTCACATCTAGGGCCCCTGGGTGGCTCAGTCGGTTAAGAGGCTGCCTTCAGCTCAGATCATGACCCCAGAGTCCTGGGATCGGGCCCTAGATCGGGCTCCCTGCTCGGAGGGGAGCCTTCTTCTCCTTCTCCCTCTGCCTGCCCCTCCCCCTGCTTGTGCGCTCTCTCTCTCTCTCTCTCTCTCTCTCTCTCTCTCTCTCTCGAGCATGTGCTCTCTCTCTCAAATAAATAAAATCTTCTTTTAAAAAAATTTCACATCTAATGAAAATATCCTTCAAAAACGAAGGTGAGGAGATTGGTTTCCAGACATAATGGACTAAGATTCTGACAGACAGACACACACACAAGCAGAAAGCAATGACAAAACCTGGGAAGAAAATCTATCTGAAGTTACTAGAGAATGAACAGGAGCAAACAGTTACTGATGGGGAAATGGCCTTCACATAGCAGGAGGACATGGAAAGTTGTAGGCATAAGCACTCCTTTTCTGAGACTTTCAGCCTGGACAAGTGCAGTCCGAATAATGCACATAGCAGCAGAGACACATGTGAAAAATAAAACTTACCATAGTCCTGAAAAGGAAAGAGCCAGAGAGGGAATTCCTAAACTCTGTCTACCCATATCTCTGGATGACTCCTGAACAGCACATTATAGGAGACTTAAAGCAAGTCAGCTCAGACAAAGTTCTGAACAGACACAAGAAACAAAGTTTGAAGTTCAATCCCAACCAAGAAAATTGCCAGCTAAAACAAATAATATTCATAAGAGAAAAAGAATATAACCCATAATCTCTCCTACTTAGCATGCATAATGTCTGAAATTACCTGACACAGGAAAAATCAATTCAATGAAACACATTCTCAAGAGAAACAAAAATCAATCAAGTCCAATACTAAGATGAACCAAACTTAGAATCAGCAGACGAGGATTTTAAAGAAACTATTGTAATTGCAATAGTTTGTTAGGGCTGCTATAACAAATATCACAAACTTGATGGCTTAAACAACAGAAGTTTATTGCCATTCAGTGCTGGAGGCTAGAAGTCCAAGATCAAGGTGTCAGCAAGGTTAGTTCTTCTAAGGTCAGTGGGGGATAATCTGTTCCATGACTCTCCTCTTGTTTCTGGTAATTTGCTGGAAATCTTTGGCATTCCTTGGCATGTAGAAGCTTCATTTTCACATAGCCTTCTCCCTATGTGTATGTATCTGTGTCCAAATTTCTCCTTTTAATAAGGATACCAGTCATATTGGATTAAGAGCCCACCCTACTCCAGTATAATCTCATTTTAACTAATTATATCTCCCATGATCCTTTTTCCAAATAGGATCACATTCTTAAGTGCTTGGAGTTAGAACTTCAACATAGAAGTTTTGCGAGAGAGGGTCACCAGGGTGACTCAGTCAGTTAAGCGTCGCACTCCTGGTTTTGACTCAGGTCGTGATCTCTGGGTTGTGGGATCAAGCCCCACATTAGGCTCTGTGCAGAGTGTGGAGCCTGTTTAGGATTCTCTCTCTCCCTCTTCCTCTGCACCCCCCCCAATTCGTGCTCTCTCTCTCTCAAAAAAAAAAAATATATATATATATGGAGGGAGACACAACTTAACCAATAGCAATAATTAACCTCAGTAAAGTATAAAACAAAACATGCTTTCAGTACATGAAATCACAGTATAGAAATGGGAAATGATGAGAAATTGAAATGAGTTTTTAAAGATGGAAATTCTAATAATACACTATATGTTAATTAATTGATTTTAAATAAAATAAAGTAAAATAAAATAAAGATGGAAATTCTAGAACCAAAAAATACAATTTATGAAATAAAAAAATTATGGGATAGACATACAGCTGAACAAAGAAGATGGAAGGAAGAATAAGTGAACTTGAAGAGAGATTATTTGATAAAAGGCAGAAATTTACAAATTCAAATTATTCAATGAGAAATAAGCAGATAAACAAAAAAGCCCATACTGAGGCAAAGCAAATCATATTTAAGTTATTAAAGGTCAAAGATAAAGAATGAATCTTAAAAGTAATAGAAATCTTAGAAAAGATTAAAAGAAAGAGAATCTTAAAAAAATAGAAAAACAACATATACAGGAGGACAACAATCTGATTAACAGCTAACTTCTTATCAGAAACATGTAAATCAGAAGAGAGTGGAACATCTTTAAAATTCTGAAAGAAAAAAATCTCTGCCCAGAATTCTACCTATATCCAAAAAGTATTATTCAATAATGAAGGTGAAATATGGATATTTTCAGATAAACAAAAACTATGAGCATTCATAACTTCAGTATAATAAATGGTAAAGTCCTTGTGGCTGAAGGGAAAAGATAACTGATAAAAACATAAAGGATGGTGAGATATGAGTTTATAAGTTTGCAAGATTTCTATTTTTTTTTAAATGAAGTACTACATTGCAACTATAATTATACTGTGACAGTTGTGAATGAAGGTTGAAATCCATAGGGCAATCCTATAAAAAATTTAATAAAGAATAACTACTATATAGGGGCGCCTGGGTGGCTCAGTTGTTAAGCATCTGCCTTTGGCTCAGGTCATGATCCCAGGGTCCTGGGATCAAGCCCCACATTGGGCTCCCTGCTTGGCAGGAAGCCTGCTTTTCCCTCTCGCACTCCCCCTGCTTGTGTTCCTTCTCTCGCTGTGTCTCTCTCTGTCAAATAAATAAATAAAATCTTTTTTTAAAGCTATTTTTTTAAAAAAGAATAACTACTATGTATAAGGTTGAATGTTAACTAGTTTATTGTGGTGATCATTTCACAATACATACAAACATTGAATCATTATGTTGTACTCCCAAAACTAATATAATGTTATATGTAAATTATACCTCAATTTAAAAAAAGAATAACTACAAATTCAATAGTAAAATTAAAATAAGAATATAAAAAGATAATCAAATAATCAGAAGGAGGGGACAGGAAGAGAATAACAAAAACAAAACAAAGAAGAGCTAAACGGTTGTAACAGCTTGGAAAGGAAGAAGTGAAACTGTATCTTCATAAATGACATGATCTTATATGTAAAACTCTAAGGAATCTACTAAAAAGCTTTTAGCACAAATAAGCGAGTGTACCAAGGTTACAAGATACAGGATCAATATACAAATATCAACTGAAACTAGCAATAAGAATCTGAAATGAAATTATAAAAACAATCAATTTACAATAGCACCAAAAAACCCAAAATACTTAGGGAAAACAAAGGAATGAGACAAAAAAAGGAATGGGACTTAAACACTAAAAACTAGGGGTGTCTGGGTGGCTCGGCCATTAAACATCTGCCTTTGGCTCAGGTCATGATCCCTGCATCCCGGGATGGAGCCCTGCGTCAGGCTCCCTGCTCAGCAGGGAGTCTGCTTCTCCCTCTCCCACTCCCCCATCTTGTGCTCCCTCTCCCGCTGTATCTCTCTCTCAAATAAATAAATAAAATCTTAAAAAGTTTAAAAAAAAAACCAAAACACTGAAAACTATAAAACATTGTTGAAAGAAATTAAAGAACACTTAAATAAATGGAAAGATATCCTATGTTCATGGATTGGAAGCCTTAATATTGTTAAGATGTCATACTCCCTGAGGTGCCTGGGTGGCTCAGTCAGTTAAGTGTCTGCCTTCGGCTCAGGTCATGATTCAAGGGTCCTGGGATTGAGCCCCACATCAGGCTCTCTGCTCAGCGGGGAGTCTGCTTCTCCCTCTCCCTCTGCTCACGCTCTCTCAAATAAACAAATGAAATCTTAAAAAAAAAAAAAAAAGATGTCATATTCCCTGCTATAGACTGAATTGTGTTCCCCTAAAATTTGTATATTGAAGCCCTAACTCCTAATGTGATTGTATCTGTACCTGAATATAGGGTCTTTAGGAGGTAATTAAGGTCAAATGAGGTCATAAGGATGGGGCTCTAATCAGATGAAAGACTGTGGCCTTATGATACGAAAAAGATCTCTCTCTCTTTCTCCCTCTCTCTCTTTCTGTCAGTCTCTCTCTCTCCCATGTGAAGAAACAGTGAGAAGGCAGCTATCTGTGGCCCAAGGAGAGAACTCTCACCACACACCAACCTTGCTAGTACTCTGATCTTGGACTTCTATTCTCCAGAATTGTCACAATAAATTTAAGTTTATTGTCACCCAGTCTATGGTATTTTATTATGGCAGTCTGAGCAGACTAAGACACTCCAAACTGGTCTACGTATTCAATTCAGTTCCTATCAAAATCCCAGCTTACTTTTCAGAAATGGAAAAGCTGGTCCTAACATTCATATGCAAATGCAAGGGGCCAAGAATAGACAAAGCAATCTTTTAAAAGAAGAAAAAATTGAAGGACTTCTACATCCTGATTTCCAAACTTACTACAAAGAAACAATAACCAAGACAGTGTGGTACCAGCATAAAAATAGATATATAGATTGATGGAAGAGAATTTAGAGTCCAGATATAAATTCGCACATCTATGGTAAACTGGTTTTCTACAAGAGTGACAAGATCATTCAATGGGGAAAGAATAGCCTTTTCAAAAAATGTTGCTGGTATAAATAAATAGCCCCATGCAAAACAATGAAATTGGACCCCTAATTCACACCATATACAAAAATTAACTCAAAATTGATCAAGCACATAAATGTGGGTTAAAACTATAAAACTCTTAGAAGAAAATAGAGGTATAAACATGACCTTAAATTAGGCAATGGTTTTGGGCTCCCTGCTCAGCAGGGAGCCTGCTTCTGCCTCTGACCCTCCCCCCTCTCATGTGCTCTCTCTCTCTCATTCTCTCTGTCTCAAATAAATAAATAAATAAATCTTAAAAAAATAAAATAAAATAAAAAATTAGGCAATGGTTTCTATAACACAAAGCACTAGTAACAAAAGGGAAAAAAGATCAATTTGGCTTCATTAAGACTAAAAACTTTTCTGCAAGTAATACTACCAAGAAAGTGAAAAGTCACTATGCTGTGCATTAGATCTCCAGAACTTACTAAACTACTAGTCGCAACTTTGTACATTTTAACACCATCTCCCCAATTCTACCAACTTCCAGCCCTGGTAACCACAATTCTACTCTTTGTTTGGCCTTTTTACACTGCATATGTAAGTAATGTCATATGACATTTGTCTTTGTCTGGCTTATCTCACTTAGCATAATATCTTTAAGGTCCAACCATGTTGTCACACATGTCAGGATTTCCTTCTTTCTCATAGCAGAATAATATTCCATCATTATCACATCCTTGCTATCCATTCATCCATTGATGAACACTTAGGTTGTTTTCATATCTTGGCTATTGTAAACGATGCTGCAATAAACATGGGAGTGCAGATAATCTTCCTGATACCCTGTTTTCATTTCCTTTGACTATATACCCAGAAGTAGGATTGCTGGATCATATGGTAGTTCTATTTTTAATTTTTTGAGGACCCTCCATCCTGTTTCCCACTAGTGGTTGAACTAATTTTTAATATTCCCACCAACAGTACATGGGATTCCCTTTTTTCTCCACAAACTCACTGACACTTGTTATCGCTTGTCTTCTTGATGATAGCCATTCTAATGAGATGCTATCTTATTGTGGTTTTGATATGAATTTCCCTGATTAGTGATATTGAGCATCTCTTCATGTACTATTAGCCATTTGTATGTCTTCTTTGGGAAAATGTCTGTTCAGTTCCTTTGCCCATTTTTTAACCAGACTTTTGTTATTAAGTTGTATGGGTTCTTTATATATTTTGGATATTAACCCTTATCTGATATATGGTGTGCAAATATTTCCTTCCATTCCACAGGTTGCCTTCATTTTGTTGATTGCTTCTTTTGCTGTGTAGTAGCTGATTTTAAATTTGGTGTAGTCCCACTCGTTTATTTTTCTTTTGTTGCTTGTGCTTTGGTGTCATATAAAAAAAAATCATTGCCAAGACTGATGTCAAGAAGCTTCTTCCCTATGCAGTATGTTTACTTCTAGGGATTTGATGGTATCAGGTCTTATGTTTAAGTCTTTAATCAATTGCAAGTTAATTTTTGTGAGTGATATGATAGGGTTCCAATATTACTTCTCTACATATGATTATTCAGTTTTCCCAGCACCATTTATTGAAGAGACCATCCTTTCCCCATTGAGTGTTCTGGCTCCCTTGTCAAATATTAGATGACTCTGTAACCAGGGGTTTATTTCTGGTCTCTCTATTCTATTACATTGATCAACTTGTCTATTTTAATGCCAATACCATACTGTTTTAATTGCTATAGATTTGTAGTACAGTTTGATTTTCAACAAAAGTTACCAAAACTATCCAATGGAGAAAAAAGGGTGCTAGAACAATTGGATCTCTCTTTGTAAAAGATGAACGTCAACTCTTCCTCCACATCATGTACAAAATTAACTGAAAATACATTATAGATCTAATTGTATGAATTAAAACTATTAAAATTCTAAAAGGAAACACAGAATAACATCTTTGTGATATTGGGGTAGGTCAAGATTTCTTAAACAAGACACTCCAAAGAACAAAGTACAAAAATATTGATAAATATCAACTTCATTAAGATTAAAAACTTTTGCTTTTTCTAAAGACACAGTTAAGAAAACTAAATGGCAAGCCATACATTTGCAGAAAATTTTCGCCACACATATATTCAACAAAGGAATTATATCCAGAATATACAAATGACTCTTATAATTCAATAATTAGATGACAAGCAACCCAATTAAAATGGGCAAAATATTTTAAAGCCATTTCACAAAGAAGATCTACAATAGCCAAAAGGCACATGAAAATATGTTCAACATAATTAGTCATCAAAAAATGCAAATTAAAGCACAATGATGGGGCGCCTGGGTGGCTCAGTCGTTAAGCGACTGCCTTTGGCTCAGGTTATGATCCCAGGGTCCTAGGATCGAGCCCTGCATCCGGCTCCCTGCTCGGCAGGAAGCCTGCTTCTCCCTCTCCCACTCCCCCTGCTTGTGTTCCCTCTCTCGCCGTCTCTCTGTCAAATAAATAAATAAAATCTTTAAAAAAAAGCACAATGAGATATAACTACATACCCACAAGAGTGATTAAAATTAATTAACAACAAAATCTCATATATTGCTTGATAGGGATGCAAAATGGTACAGTCACTTTGAAAAACTGTCAGCAGTAACTTATAAACATACATTTACCATGTGACTGAGTAATTCCACTCATTTAAGTATTTACTCAAAAAGAAAGGAAACATATGTCCACATAAAACATGTATCTGAGTGTTCAAAGCAACATTATTCATAATAGCCAAAAGCTAGACGCAACCCAAATGTTCACTCAACAGGTGAATGGGTAAAAAATATATATATGTATAAATATCATGGACCACTACTCAGCAATATAAAGAAACAAAATACACACGCAATAACATGGATGAATCTCAAAAACATCATGCTATAAAGTCAAATACAAAATATTAGGTAATACATATCAATAGCATACACACTCCCAGTTGTAACAACCAAAAATATGTCCAAAGAGTGCCAAATGTCCCCTGGAGAGGCAAAAGTTCCCCAGCTGAAGATCACTGGTTTAGACATATTTGAGTTTCTTGTACTTAACATATATATAAATACCTAATACTGTTCTATAAGCTTGCTCCATTTAATTAAGAAGATTTCATTTACAAGACATCTTTTAATTTCCTTTGGTGAAAGACAATTTATACCAATTTGTTTTCAGATAGAAGAAAGAAAGAAAAAGAAGAAAGAAAGAAAGAAAGAAAGGGAGAAAAGGAGGGAGGGAGGAAGGAAAGAATATTTTATCAACTTTTGTACAGACCACAAGAGTAAGTTGGAATAAAATAGCAGCATATAAAAGAGAAATAGAGAAGCAGTATCTATTTAGAATACTGATCAAAGAAACAAGAGAGATTATTAAGCAACATTAGGTCTCTCAAAGGAGAATCATTATAAAACCTGAGTTTTTCAAAATTTTCTTCTGAATTTTATCAGGAAATCAGATTGGGTTTTTTGGTTTTGTTTTTGGATTGGGGGGTTTGGGATTTTTTGGTATCCAAATCCTTACAATAATGACCACCTTCTTTCTTTAGCCTTAATCAGAAATTTCTAAAGAGGCATTTGTCTGGATTTATTCATTTGTTAGTAGCCTCCATCGATAAGTTTTAGAGCTAACAATGTAATGTATGGTGACTAACATAACATAATAAAATAAAAATTTTTTAAAATGCATGGTAATCGCATGCCAATACTAATAATAAAAGGCAAATTTTTAAAAAAATTTTAAAAATATAGAGTTTTAGGTCAGTTTCTGTTGCTTGCATCCAACAGCCCCTAAATAACAGTGGATCATATTGAAAATAATTGTTTGTGAGTTTGCCTCAGAACCAAGTCTTGTTCACCTTTCAAGCCCCCAAATTTATAATAATTTCTGGCCCGTTAGACATGCTCTATAGATGTTTTCTAGGCAGAGAAGTGTATCTAGCATGGATTTGACTTTGTTCTCTCTGGGTCCTCCTTGCTACTTCTTTTCTCATGCATCTTTGGAAACATCACCCATGCTGCTCACTAACTCAGCTCCATTTTTTGAACACTCTAGACTAGGAGGGACAGTTTTTTTCTCTTCCTAAATTTCTATTTCACCCCATAAAATAGAAACTTTTAGGAAGTATAGAGAAGAGAGCTCCAGTCCTCTCCCTTCACTTATTCTCCCTAAAGAGAAGGTACATAAAGGGGGTGGGCAGGGCTGATATATCTGATGCGGA